ATTATTGGGGGTCAATATATTTCACTTATGCAATTTTTTATATATCATTGGATTCGTAATAAATTGAATTATTTTAATCTTTTTACAAAATTTTTATTGTTATTTTCTATATTGTAATTTTCTATAAATAAATAATTAAGGTGAGAGGTGTAAATCACAAAAAAGATATTTTAAACATATAAAACGGCTTAAATATGCCAATGTTGTTTGTAAAAATTATGTGTGATAATATAATTGATGGTTATATTGTAAAATATTATTTATTATCCATTTTATAAGGTTGATTCCTCAGAAATCAATACATTATAGTGATACTACGATGTCATTCTCGCCAACAAATTTTCAGACTTGAGTGATACAACTTGATTTCTAAACATGCTAAACTTTTTGAATATTTTAATGATCAAATTCTATTTTAAAAATAATTATTTTCTACCCCTTTACATTTAGAAGTATGTGTAAAATAGAAGGTATCCTCTAAATTTCTGAGAAATAGGTAACGAAATCGACACTGCGCGGTCCTGAACTTCACAAAATTTCCGTATCTCATATTGAAGTATTTTACACATATAAATCAATATAATTTTTAAACCTTTCAAGAAATATATAGCTTATAGCTTGAATTTCATGTAATGATTTACTGAATGATCAAAAATTGCGTATTGGCTGTGTTATATGCTCAAAAAATATCGTAAGTAACAGTCCGCCATTTTGAATTTCGGTGGGACTTTCCAAGATTCTTTTGTTTGTTTACACAGGTAAATCATCTGATTTCTAATTGTACTACGATGCAATCATATTTTTAACCTGCAGGTGGCTACCTGTGCTCTGATAGTTTATTAACAAGCGGTAATTACAAGTAAAATCATCATTGAAAATATACATGTGTCAACATTTGGTCAAAAGTCTCATGAGGTTTGGGGGCTAGGCGTCAATATTCGTCATTAAAGGGTAAAGGAGGGAACAATCTAAGGGGAAAAGAGCTATTTTATACGCATGTATAATCTTTAGACGCTTGAAAAGACATTTTTTGTTAATTTATTACAAGTGCCTTTTTAACTGTGCACGCTCTGAAGACTGTAGTTTTAGAACAAATTATGGTATACGTAATCCGGATTTGCAATAAAAAGTGCTAGGGTCGGCGTGTAAAATTAGGGTCGGTTGGGTTACCGGAAAAAACATGTTTTTTTTTTTGCCAGATCACATTTTGTCCAATGTCAATCCGTCCGTCTAGCTGTCCGTCTGTAATTTTTTCACATTTTCTACTTCTCAAGAACCGCTGGGCCAAGGGGAGATAATCATGAAAAGACAAAAATAGGGTGGTGTCATTAAAAAATCTTCTTCTCAAGAACCACTGGGCCAGAAAAGCTGAAAATTTTGTGGAAGCATCCTGGGGTAGTGTAGATTCTAAATTGTTCAAATCATGACCCCGGGGTTGGGCGGGGCCACAATAGGGAATCAAAATTTTACATAGAAATATATAGGAATTTTTTTTTAAAAATCTTCTTCTCAATAACTACTGGGCCAGAAAAGCTGAAACTTATGTGGAAGCATCCTGGGGTAGTTTAGACTCTAATTTTTTAAATCATGACCCCCGGGGTTTGGACGGGACACAATAGAGAATCAAAGTTTTACATAGAAATATATAAGAAAAATCTTTTAAAATCTTCTTCTCAAGAACTAAGGGGAAATTTGGGTTAAGAATAGCATGGTCAAAGCTTCTCAGGTGAGAGATGTGGCCCATGGGCCTCTTGTCTTATCACCAGACCAAGCGGGTCATAAGACTTAGACAACTTCACTTTCGATCTCAATGAATCTCACTCTTACTAAAAGAATATTTAGTTGGAAAGTGAGACTGAGATCAAAAGTGAGCTCATCTAAGTTTTATGCCCCCCTCCTCACACGAGTAAATCAGGTGACCTATTGCTATCTGTTTTTGTCCATTGTTGTACGCGCGGGTATGTTAAGGCAGCACATGGATCAGAATTCGGCGAATTAACCCTTTTTATAATTATGTAACACTAATAAAACGAAAAAGTCAAGGATAAAACTTTTGCTATAATTATGCATTCTATAGACTTCAATGAGATTTATACTACAGGAGGCACTTCACCACAACGTCACCACGTGACGTCTATAATTAGAAAAATATGTCTTAATAAAAAAGTGAAAAGTTTAAGACTACCCCGGGGATAATTAGTTTCAATTTGTAAAAATAGTTATGTAAAAACATCTCTGTAACATGAAAAGTGCTGCTAGAATCGTACTGTTCTATTGTAGAAATAATTATTCAACAATTTCGGACGAAACCTTCCCAAAATTTTAACATTTTGTTCATAACAATGAAAAAAAAGCATCAATTCCGGAAAACCATACGATTCTAGCAGCACTCTCCAAAAACAAAAGAATAAGAACTTTAGATAGAAACAAAATTTAAGTTTCAAGGTATGCGGCGTAGTGTTGAACTTTTGCATCTTTTTTGTTACGAATGACAGAGGAAAGGCTGATCGGCAAGTAAACATCCTCCCTGCTATAATTTTACGAAGAAATAGCAAAATTATATTACCATACCTTATTCATACGCTTTATTCCCACAAGAATCACACATGATATTCATTCTAAATGCTTTTAAACTACGAAATCTTGTGTTTGTTTACATCAATTCTCGTTACATTTCACTTTCACTCTGCTACTGCATGATCAACAGTTATGACGTCACGGGTTTTGGTATGGAACCCGTGTGATAACTACAGAGGCCCAGGAACGACAAAATTCCCTTTATATTATGCCTCTGCATATTTTGATTCATTTTTACGTCCTCAAATCAATCTTACATATCGATTTTAAGAAATGATTATCTCTAAACCTCACGTCATATAGCTTACTATGACGTCATAACATATAGGCAAGTAGAATATTTGGTTGTAACCTTAACTTACCCGCGCGTCGTTCGTTGAGTGTAATCTTATGACCTTATGAACATTTTTCGCTTCTCTAGAACCACTGAACCAATTTCAGCCTAATTTTGCATATAGCATAATTTATGAGTGAGGGGGAACAAAAATTTTGAATTTCATCCCCCCCCCTGGAACCTGAGGGGTGGGGCCAAAACCACTAAAATTAATTCAATCTAGAAAAATCTTCTCCTTTACTCATAGCCATCAAGCAGTCAAACTTTTTACATGATTGTAATAAAAATTCAGTCCTCTACCTAAATTGTGAAACTCATGGCCCCGGGGTCAGGGGTTCTGGTGTTAGGACAGGGCTCTTTTGATTATATAATGAAAATGCATTAATTCTTTGAAAATCAGTTTTCTCTGTCCCTGGGTGTTAAACAAACTAACTACGTACATATATTTATACATGTATTTATAATGATGAAAGGTGTCTATTATAACATGTATAAAATTTTGAATTTCATGGCCCCAGGATGAGGGATTCTGGTGTTAGGGTTTGGCTATATTTATTACAGTTCTATATAGTGAAAATGCATAACTTCTTTGAAAATCTTTTTTCTCTGCCCCTGGGTATCAAACAAACTAACTACATACATACTAGGGATGGCAATTTGTAACCGGTTAACCAATTATTTGGTCGGAATGATGGGAATAAGTTATAAAATTTTTAATCGGTTAGTCGGAAAAAATAAAATTTAACACAATTTTCTTAAAATTTATTTCAAAAAATGAAATCGCTGCACATAGGGTTGAAAATCTGCGTTTTTCAAACAAGAATATATGTATTTCAATACAATAAACTGGTTAATCGGTAGTAACTTGATGCAGTTAACCGATTAGCAGTTCTGCATTTGATTGCCATCCCTTAAAAATACATGTACTTATGATGAAAAAAATGTGGCTCTTCCAAAATTTGTGAATTTCCTTGTCCCTGGATAAGGGGTTCTGGTTCCAGATTCATGAGACAGACTTAGACTGAAGTCAAATTTTTAATCGCTGTGAAATGTTTATTAATGATTGGAGATACTAACAATATATAATATGCATAGGCGTCGGAATCGTAGGGGGGATAGTCCCCCCTCTTCCTATGTTTTTTTTGCAAAATTAGACATTTTATAGGCATTGAAAATTGGGATTTACCTTTTTTGTTGGGTTACACCCCCCCCCCTTCACTTTCAATTTTCTTCCTATGCCAATGTATATGTGGGGATAAAACTATATCACTCATACAAAATACTACACATGATATACATAAACATGTACAGTACTGTATGTACATGCAGTATATTTGTAAATGTACATATGCAGTATGTAATTTTTACATGTTTTTAAATAAATATTGATAAAACCAAACACTCAATCCTACAAAAGCTCTCATTCGAATTTCAAAATGAAGACAAAATATTTTCTTATTTAAATAAATAAACTGGAGAGATGTATGTATTGTAATAATGGTGAATAATAATATATTCTTTATTTTTTTACCCAGAACACAGTAACAAGATGAATGGAGACTTTACAGTTTCTACCAGATACAAGAAATCACTGTGGTATACATTTCTCTGTTACTTTATATAACTGTACAGTTGTTACCAGATACAAGAAATCAGTGTGGTATACATTTCTCTGTTACTTTATATAACTGTACAGTTGTTACCAGATACAAGGAATCAGTGTGGTATACATTTTTCTGTTACTTTATATAACTGTACAGTTGTTACCAGATACAAGGGATCAGTGTGGTATACATTTCTCTGTTACTTTATATAACTGTACAGTTGTTACCAGATACAAGAAATCAGTGTGGTATACATTTCTCTGTTACTTTATATAACTGTACAGTTGTTACATTGTATCAGACACAAGACATCAGTGTGGTAAACATTTCTCTGTTACTCTATATAATTACTGTACAGTTGTTACCAGATACAAGAAATCAGTGTGGTATACATTTCTCTGTTACTTTATATACATGTAACTGTACAGTTGTTACCAGATACAAGAAATCAGTGTGGTATACATTTCTCTGTAACTTTATATAACTATACAGTTGTTACCAGATACAAGAAATCAGTGTGGTATACATTTCTCTGTTACTTTATATAACTATACAGTTATTACCAGATACAAGACATCAGTGTGGTAAACATTTCTCTGTTACTCTATATTAAATCAGTGTGGTATACATTTCTCTGTTACTATTTATAACCATGTCACTAGACTCACAACACACTGTAGAAAGAAAATATAAATTACCGTATAAGTGGAAATTTTAGCGAGACACAAATTTAGCGATTTGTCCCTAAAAACTGGTAATTTATTTTTAGCGAGATGTTAATTTAGTGCTTTTAAAATGCACATTAATGTATCTATTAGAAATAAAACGCGATTAATTTTAAGCTTTATTCAATTTTAGCAATCTTGGCACCCTCGCTAATAATGCCAAAATTAAATACTCGCTAAAAATTCTACTTATACGGTATAATTTTTGAGTATACTGTGTAACTTATGAAGTTTTTGAATTCTACTGGAAAAGTTGACATGTAATATTTCAAATGAGTTCATATTATACTTTTTTTAAGAAACGAACTTTTAGTTTTCAACGATGTTTCAATTTATTAATATTGATTATTTAGATCAGACTTATGGTGAACTGTTGGACCCTGCAAGAGAGAGAGATTTGTAAAGGATTCAGTACTCAGTGTAAAGGTATTTATGTTTATCTGCATTCAATTCAATATAATTCTTCATGTTATTAAAACTAAGACATTGATATATGCTTACAATTATAAATAGAGATGTGTAACTGATGTAGATAATTCTGTTACAATGTTGTAATTTACAGAGAGATCTCCCTGACTGAGGAAATCCACACGGGATTCTGTTTTAAAACACCAGGATAAAGAAATAGATGTCTGCTGTAAATAATGTATAGAGCAGTGTACCAGAGATCTGTCACAGTGTCAGGTGTTAGTCAGTGTCTTCACATTTCACGTGTGTCTACAGACCGGGTTTGGATCAGTGATGGTAGAGGCAATCTTATACTGACAAACACAAGAGGAGAAGAACTAGACAGTGTGACAGTTATAGGTAGTGGTGTGGGAGGAGGACACACTGTGGATTCTAACGGTGATCTAATTTATATAGACAGTGAATTAAACATCAATAAACTGTCTACAGATAACAAAGAAAAGACTACGATAATAAAGTACAACAAATCATGGAGACCAAAGTGTGTCTACAGTTCCCCCTTCAGTGGAGACCTGCTGGTCGGGATGTATATAGGTATTACAGGCAAGGTAATGAGGTATAACTCCACAGGAGAAAACATCCAGACCATACAGCACAACAACAACAACACAGGTCAAGGACTGTATCATATACCTAACTACATCACAGAGAACCGCAATGGAGATGTTATTGTGTCTGAATCTCTCCGTGGTGTAGTGGTGACAGATCGTGACGGTAAATTCCGGTTCTCCTACAGAGGTCCTCCATCAGGATCACGATTAGCACCAGTAGGAATCTGTACTGACGCGCTGTCATACATCCTGCTGTGTGATTGGAGAACCTGGTCAGTACAGATGTTAGATAGTGATGGTCACTATCTGACAGAGATACTGACACCACAACACGGGATAGGCTTACCATGCGGCCTGATTTATGATGATGACACTCACCTACTGTGGGTAGGGTCATACAACAACAACTTAGTCAACATATACAGAGTGGTAGATACAGACTCTCTGACTGGTAAGTAACATTGTAGTCTGTTTGATTGTATTTTATAATTATAATACTTATACTAATTAAAAACACCATTATGTTAGGGGGATTATTTAAGAATAACTAGTTACTGTATGAGTACATGTACATTTATATATTCAAGTGTTTATTTACTAGATGAGTGCTTAAGTTTAATCACAAATGATTAATCAATATGTTAAACAACAAACATGAGATGGTAAAGATAAAGTTTATGAATACGAACATGATAAAAATATTAAAAAGAAGTGATAGATCTACATCCTGTTTATCATTAATTGTATAGCGTCCATGTGTTGTGTGTAGTTCTTCAATCACTGATTCATGTTCATTGATGTTTGCTTCATAGATTTTTGTACAATATACATCAGATATACTGTCAATGGTGAATAATTACCTACTTTTGAAATCTTGTGCTGTTTTTTGAAATTTTGTACGATAAATACAATGAGTGAAGAATGGTTCATTTTTGACAAGTAGTTAGTGGATTAAATTTTTAAATCTTTTCTAATTATTACAATATCCTTAACATACTTAAGTTTTATAATGTACTAGTATTCAGTTTAAGTAAATTCTACCATGGTTACATTTAAAACAGATGACAATTTGTACATGTTGTACTGATGTTGACAGTTAGATATAGACATCATTGATATTAACACAGCTCAGTCTAGGAATGTTGTGTATTTCTGTAGCAGGTGTTCAGTAAATCTACACTGTGTACTGGGGTGACATTTTGTTTTGGAGAAACTTCTAGATGAATATGGAGATAACCAAACAATATTTCTTCATAAAATCCATAATAAAGTTTAAGATTCACTTCAACTTTATGAACAAAAAGTTCAATTCTAAGACACCAAAGAATAAGCCTGAATACAACTACAGTGACTTGCTTATGAAAGGGAGACAATCCAATCTTGTATTTGAATGTGAAGAAGAAAATTAAGTTACTTCCCATTAAGGCATTTCATTATAAAGGTGTAAAAAAATAATTCTTGAAAAAAAAAATTAGCTTTCTGCCTTGTTTTGAAATAGTTTGTCCATGAAACTAGAAATAAAATTTTATTATTACTGCCTGTATCAAATGTAATTACAAGATATGGTGAAGAAGGAAATAATTGTATATATATTATCATTACTAGATTTATTCTGCTCATTTGTAACCATATGTATCCCAATTACAGGAATTTAAGAGACTGAAAGCCTGTAACTGATAATGCACTTAAAGTGTTTTATTTGTACACTGTTATACAAGCATTGAGGTCTCTGACAGAAATGTAGGGTTGATTTCTTTGGTTTACATATAATGATACTTGGGGGGCTGGAGGTAGGCTGGGGGTATGGGTGTTGGATTGGGGGGGGGGTAATGTAAGGTATGATTGTTCTAGTTCAAGTTATTGTGAACCTAAACGAACTTATTGAACTTAAACGACTGAACACAAAGACTGCATACACACTATTTATGAGGAAATAATTGGATTTATACTTTTATTTTATATTTACGGTACACCCCTGACCCACCCTGAAGATTGTGTGTGTCACTGTGTCACTGTTTTGTGTTTTTTATTGGGAAAGGGGGTGTCCTTGTAAATATCATTGGAGTTGTGTGAGGAAATCTTCCTTGACACAAAGGTTGCATACCAAAATTGTGGAATATTATAACTCTTATAGGTCATGTGAGTTTGGCTAAGATCATCAGTACTTTGTTAAAGTGCATTTTTAATTTAAAGTACATTGGCCATGAATGTTTTATTGAAGCAATTTAACATTGATTGGTCATCTGTGTGATGATTAAAAAGCTTGTCATTTGATCTAAGGTGTTACGCGACCAAAAGTTATGTTGGCAAGTCATAGAAAATCAATTTATAGTCATACTCAAAGAGTGCGTAGTAAATCATGCCTTTAACATGTAAAAGTAAAAATGATTTTGGAAGATGCACCGTTATTTAATATTTTAATATTAATAATTGTAATATTTAATAATAATAGCAATTATAGATGACATTTATATGTCAATATATTCCTCTGTTTATCTTGGCATATATCAAATATAGTTTTTCTAATAAATGTAAATACATGTACATGTAATATCTAGATTGTCTGGACTCCAAAAATTTTCTACTCCAATATACTTCAATATCATAATAATTAATAGATTTGTTATATTTAAAAAACATTAACAAAATGAATTTGTTTTGAGAAGATTTATCAGCATTGAATGATTTTTTACAATATAAAACTTTTATTTCTAACAGGAGTCCCTCTGAAGGACATCAAATGTAGCAAACATCCCAGAATTCCCCTGGACCAGTTCTGTACCCCGTGTGGTGTTCCCTTGTGTGTGGAGTGTACCAGCTCTGAGAATCACAGCAGACATGACCTTAGAAATATAGAGACATTGTTTGACAGCATTCACAGGATAGAAAGTATGAGTTTGAAGCTGTTTTAAAATTTGATACATGTAGCAAATGAAATATATTTTAAAGAATGACTTTCATTCTGCTTTAATTATCAAATAAAATATTTATTTATACTATGACCTTCCATGGCCTGAGCCAAACACCAAATGAGTAATCTGATCAACAATTGTGGGCCATCCATTTAATTATCTGCCTTATTGTCTATAGGTTGTCTGTAACAAACATAAAGGAAGTATATACATGTATGGAGATCACTTTGTTATTTGTCTGTCTAGCTGTTCATTTATGTCTGTACGATTATTTCCAAACCAAAATTTATCATGGTGAAACTCCTGTGATCGGGAGTTCGAATCTCGACTGCGACTGACCTAGTAAGTCAATAACAAGAGGCCCAGGGGCCACAGAGCTCACCTGAGCACATTGGCTTGAATTTACCCCCCCCCCCTCCAGGCGTTCATCATTTGAACAAACTAGAATCTACACTACCTGAGGATGATTCCATATAAATATCACTAATCATAGCTTTGAAGTACTTGAAAAGAAGATTTTAAAAGGTTTCCCTATATATCCCTATGTAAAACTTGGGTCGGCCATTTTGGCCCCATCCTAGCCCCGGGGGTCATGATTTGAACAAACTTGAATCTACACTACCTGAGGATGATTCCACATGAGTTTCATATTTCCTGGCCTTGTGGTTCTGGAAAGAAGATTTTAAAAGATTTTTCCTATATATTCCTATGTAAAACTTGGGTCGGCCATTTTGGCCCAACCCTTGGACCAGGGGTCAAGATTTGAACAAACTTGAATCTACACTACCTGAGGATGATTCCACATGAGTTTCATCTTTCCTGGCCTTGTGGATCTGGAAAAGAAGATTTTTAAAGATTTTTCCTATATATTCCTATATAAAACTTGGGTCGGCCATTTTGGCCCCACCCTAGCCCCGGGGGTCATGATTTGAAGAAACTTGAATCTGCAATACCTGAGGATGATTCCACATGAGTTTCATCTTTCCTGGCCCAGTGGTTCTGGAGAAGGATTTTAAAGATATTTCTTATATTTTCCTATGTAAAACTTGGGTCGGCCATTTTGGCCCCACCCTTGCCCCGGGGGTCATGATTTGAATAAACTTGAATCTACACTACCTGAGGATGATTTCACATGAGTTTCATCTTTCCTGGCCTTGTGGTTCTGGAGAAGAAGATATTTAAAGATTTTTCTTATATATTCCTATGTAAAACTTGGGTCGGCCATTTTGGCCCCATCCTTGGACCAGGGGTCAAGATTTGAACAAACTTGAATCTACACTACCTGAGGATGCTTCCACATGAGTTTCATATTTCCTGGCCTTGTGGTTCTGGAAAAGAAGATTTTTAAAGATTTTTCTTATATATTCCTATGTAAAACTTGGGTCGGCCATTTTGGCCCCACCCTTGGACCAGGGGTCAAGATTTGAACAAACTTGAATCTACACTACCTGAGGATGATTCCACATGAGTTTCATATTTCCTGGCCTTGTGGTTCTGGAAAAGAAGATTTTAAAAGATTTTTCCTATATATTCCTATATAAAACTTGGGTCGGCCATTTTGGCCCCACCTTTACCCCGGAGATCATGATTTGAACAAACTTGAATCTACACTACCTGAGGATGATTCCACGTGAGTTTCAGATTTCCTGGCCTTGTGGTTCTTGAAAAGAAGATTTTTTAAAGATTTTTTCTATATATTCCTATGTAAAACTTGGGTCGGCCATTTTGGCCCCACCTTTACCCCGGGGATCATGATTTGAACAAACTTGAATCTACACTACCTGAGGATGATTTCACATGAGTTTCATCTTTCCTGGCCTTGTGGATCTGGAAAAGAAGATTTTTAAAGATTTTTCCTATATATTCCTATATAAAACTTGGGTCGGCCATTTTAGCCCCACCCTAGCCCCGGGGGTCATGATTTGAAGAAAATTGAATCTGCAATACCTGAGGATGATTCCACATGAGTTTCATCTTTCCTGGCCCAGTGGTTCTGGAGAAGGATTTTAAAGATATTTCTTATATTTTCCTATGTAAATCTTGGGTCAGCCATTTTGGCCCCATCCTTGCCCCAGGGTTCATGATTTGAACAAACTTGAATCTACACTACCTGAAGATGATTCCACATGAGTTTCATCTTTCCTGGCCCAGTGGTTCTGAAGAAGAAGACTTTAAAGATTTTTCCTATATATTCCTTTGTAAAACTTTGGTCGGCCATTTTGGCCCCACCCTTGCCCCGGGGGGTCATGATTTGAACAAACTTGAATCTACACTACCTGAGTATGATTTCACATGAGTTTCATCTTTCCTGGCCTTGTGGTTCTGGAGAAGAAGATATTTAAAGATTTTTTCTATATATTCCTATGTAAAACTTGGGTCGGCCATTTTGGCCCCACCTTTACCCCGGGGATCATGATTTGAACAAACTTGAATCTACACTACCTGAGGATGATTCCACGTGAGTTTCAGATTTCCTGGCCCAGTGGTTCTGGAGAAGAAGATTTTTTAAAGATTTTTTCTATATATTCCTATGTAAAACTTGGGTCGGCCATTTTGGCCCCACCCTTGCCCCGAGGGTCATGATTTGAACAAACTTGAATCTACACTACCTGAGGATAATGCCACATGTGTTTCATCTTTCCTGGCCCAGTGGTTCTGGAGAAGAAGATTTTTAAAGATTTTTCCTATATATTCCTATGTAAAACTTTGGTCGGTCATTTTGGCCCCACCCTTGCCCAGGGGGTCATGATTTGAACAAACTTGAATCTACACTACCTTAGGATAATGCCACATGAGTTTCATCTTTCCTGGCCCAGTGGTTCTGGAGAAGAAGATTTTTAAAGATTTTTCTTATATATTGCTATGTAAAACTTGGGTCGGCCATGTTGGCCCCACCCTTGCCCCGGGGGGTCATGATTTGAACAAACTTGAATCTACACTACCTGAGTATGATTTCACATGAGTTTCATCTTTCCTGGCCTTGTGGTTCTGGAGAAGAAGATATTTAAAGATTTTTCTTATATATTCCTATGTAAAACTTGGGTCGGCCATTTTGGCCCCACCTTTACCCCAGGGATCATGATTTGAACAAACTTGAATCTACACTACCTGAGGATGATTCCACGTGAGTTTCAGATTTCCTGGCCCAGTGGTTCTGGAGAAGAAGATTTTTTAAAGATTTTTTCTATATATTCCTATGTAAAACTTGGGTCGGCCATTTTGGCCCCACCCTTGCCCCGAGGGTCATGATTTGAACAAACTTGAATCTACACTACCTGAGGATGCTTCCACATGAGTTTCATCTTTCCTGGCCCAGCGGTTCTGGAGAAGAAGATTTTTTAAAAATGCCATTAATTTTGAACAAAATCATGATTATCTCCCCTTGGAAAAGGGTGTGGCCCTTCATTTGAACAAATTTGAATCCCTTTCACCCAAGGATACTTTGTGCCAAGTTTGGTTGAAATTGGCCCAGTGGTTCTTGAGAAGAAGATGAAAATGTGAAAAGTTTATGACGACGACGACAACGACTACGACAACAGCGACAGACGACGGACAAATTTAGATCAGAAAAGCTCACTTGAGCCTTCGGCTCAGGTGAGCTAAAAATGGGTAGTAAAAGTCCCTTTGCCATGCGCTCGGCACATGAAGTGAAAGTTACAGGTCCTTCGGGTGAGACCTTAAAAACCGAGGTCCCTTGTCACGCCAGGCGTTATTACTATAAAGAACCCTCACTGCTCAATGGCCCTAAGTGCCGAGTTAAGGTCAAAATTTGAAGAATTTCACCGGTATATGGTGACGTCTATACATGAGTGTAATATTCTCGAATGGGACGTAATACAACATACATTCAATCATTCAATTATCTGTATATATTTCTTGTTTATTTGTAGATGGAAATATACTTTTGATGTGCCTTCTTCTTTCCAATTCTTACAAAATAAACATAGAAGACGAAAACTGGATGACAAAATATAATTCTGTTGCCAAAAGTTTTCGTTTGAAGAAAATCTCAAAGCCATTTGTTCATGAAGACTTAGAAAAATACGAACCAATCCTGAAACTCAATGAATCAGAGATCAGTTATTCCAATGAGTTCTTCAAAAATATCAGTTTCCTGGAATTCTCAAAGAATTCTCTCTTCACTGAAATTTTCTTGACTGGGGCAGAAAAAGAAAACGTAGCTGAGTACTGTAGATCGTGGAATTATCAGAGAAGAGAAGATGAGATTTGCTGTTGGTTACTACCAGACAAAAATGAGGAATTTTTAAAACGTCTTGGAGAAGATATTTTCACACACCCAACAATGGAGGACAAGTCATTCCATGAAGTTGTATTTAAGAAAGGTAAGTCTATTTTCAGCCGGTTACTCGGATAAAATTTAACAAAAGAAGTAAATGAATTACATGTATTTGTCTGTGATTTCATCTATAACTATATATATAAGCATTTACATCTTATTTATACCCCTGCACACAAAGCTGGGGGGGGGGGGGTTATATAGGAATCACCTTGTCCGTCTGTCTAGCTGTCCGTCTGTCCGTGCAAATATGTCCGATCCATATTTTTCTTCCAGAGGAATATTACAATCTACTACTTCACCCAACGTTTTCTTATGACCTAAGGGTGTGTCATGACCTTTACCCAAGGTCATTTGGAGAAGTTCAAGGACGCTGAAAGAAAAATTTCATTATTCGTGTCCGGTCCAAATCTTTCTTATGGATAAACTTGGTAAGTTCCCATTTCACACAAAGATTGCCCATGACCCATGGGTGTGTCATGACCTTGAATCAAGGTCATTTGGGAACTTCAAGGTCACTGGAAGAAAAATTTCATGATTCTTGTCCGGTCCATATCCATGATATACTGTACTTTCTTATGGATAAACTTGGAAGGTTCTCATTTCACACAAAGATTGCTCTTGACCCAAGGGTTTGTCATGACCTTGACCCACGGTCATTTGGGGAAATTTCAAAGTCATTGGAAGAAAAATTTTATGATTCGTGTCCGGTCCATATCTTTCTTATGGATAAACTTGGTAGGTTCTCATTTCACACAAAGATTGCAAATGACCTAAGGGTGTATCATGATCTTGACCCAAGGTCATTTGGGGAAGTTCAAGATCACTGGAAAAAAATGCATGATTCGTGTCTGATCCATATCTTTCTTATGGATAAACTTGGTAGGTTCTCATTTAACACAAAGATTGACCATGACCCAAGGGTTTGTCATGACCTTGACCCTGGTCATTTGGGGAAGTTCAAGGTCACTGGAAGTAAAATTTTATGATTTGTCTCTGGTCCATATCTTTCTTATGGACCCCGTGGGGATCCTGGTTAGAATAGGTCCTCTGAACCCCCTTGTTTGTCGTAAAGGGCGACTAAATGGGGCGGTCCTTCTGATGAGACCGTATAAACCGAGGCCCCGTGTCACAGCAGGTGTGGCACGATAAAGATCCCTCCCTGCTCAAAGACCCTGAGTGCCGAGCATAGGCCTAAATTTGCAGCCCTTCACCGGCAATGGTGACGTCTCCATATCAGCGAAATATTCTGTAGAGGGACGTCAAACAGTATACAATCAATCAATCAATCTTTCTTATGGATAAACTTGGTATGTTCTCATTTCACACAAAGATTGACCATGACCCAAGGGTTTGCCGTAAATTGCACCTATATTGCGTTAGGGGATCTGTATCATTATGGTCTAAGACAAATATATAAAACCGTTATGCTACAGATCTGCAGCTAAGATCTGTTTTACTAGTATTTTGTCATTACAGTTGGAATACCAATGCAGATCATCTTAAGGGGAGATAAATCTGTGAAGAATTTCATTGAAAATTTAAAGAAAGGGAAGACAACCATGTACCATGCCTCTGGAATGATAATAGGGTGTGCTGGTAGTGGGAAAACAACATTGTTAGAGAGACTGAAGGGCATTGACCTGGAAGAAATAAAGAAAAATATCAGTTCAACCAGAGGAGTCGATATCCACACAGATGTCTTTGATGTGAAGGATAGCATCCAAGGTATTCTTTATTCATTGTCTTCATTGATTGTGATGAATACATGTATTACTAAATTGTATGATGGAATTGGATCATGGATCATTTCACTAGAGTAATATTAAGTCACACTGTATGAACTTTTTGAAAAAAAATAACTAAATAGTATGTAAACAAATGGACCGAATTAAGCTCTTCTGAGCCAATTGCCCACAGAAGCGAATGTTATGATCATTGTGTAGTATATGTAAACTTTTAGCTCACCTGAGCCGGAGGCTCAAATGTGCTTATCTGACTAAAATATATCCATTTTCTGTTGTTGTCAATGTTGTTGTTTAAAACTTTTTTAACAATTTTAACTTCTTCTCCAGAACCACTGAGTCAATTTCAACAAAATTTGATTTAGTTTGTTAAATATAGGGCCCCACCTTCTTTCAAAGGGAGACAGATTTTTATTCCCTCTTTTGAAGAAGAGAGGGCATATTGCTTTGCTGCTGTTGGTTGATCTGTTGGTCCACTTAGTTTCTTTATAACATGAATAAAAACATTAAATATAAATATAAGAAATAAAATATCATTTTAGGTCCTCTGAGCCACTCAGGAGACCTATTACTATCTGTTTTCGTCCGTCTTTGTCCGTCTTGTGTCGTGTGTTAACATTTGAACATTTTCAGCGTCTTCTCTGAAACAACTGAACCAATTTCAACCAAATTTAGTATACAGCATCTATGGGTAAAGGGGAACAAAAATTGTGAATTTTTATCGTCGCTTCCCCCCTGGGGGCTTGAGGGGGGGGGGGGGACCAAAACCACTAGAATTAATGAAATCTTTAAAAATCTTCTTTACTCCTGAACATTTTGCAGTCAAAGTTATGGCATAAATGTAATAAGCATTTAGTCCTCTACCAGAATTATGAAATTCATGGCCCAAGGGTCAGGGGTTCTAGTGCTTGGGTGGGGCTATATAGATTATATAGTGCAATTGCATTATTTTTAGCTCACCTGAGTCGAAGGCTCAAGTGAGCTTTTCTGATCATATTTTGTCCGTCGTCCATCCGTTTGTCTGTCCGTCTGTAAACTTTTCACATTTTTGACTTCTTCTCATGAACCACTGGAACAATTTTAATCAATCTTTGTACAAAGCATCCTTGGGTTAAGGGAAATAAAAATTGTTAAAATGAAGCGCCAAATCCCCTCACAAGGGGAGATAATTAAGAGAAGACAAAAATAGGGTAGGGTCATAAAAAAATCTTCTTTTCGAGAACCACGGGGCCAGAAAAGCTGAAACTTACGTGGAAACATCCTGGGGTAGTGCAGATTCTAAATTGTTCAAATCATGACCCCCAGGGGTAGGGCGGGAACACAATGGGGAATCAAAGTTTTACATAGAAATATATAGGAAAAATCTTTTGAAATCTTCTCAAGAACCACTGGGCCAGAAAAGCTTAAACTTATGTGTAAGCATTCTGGTGTAGTGTAGATTTTTATTGTTCAAATCATGACCCCCGGGTTGTAGAGCGGGGCCATAATGGGGAATCAAAATTTTACACAGAAATATAGAGGAAAAATCTTTTGAAATCTTCTACTAAAGAACCACTGGGGCAGAAATGCTGAAACTTATGTGGAAGCATCCCGGGGTAGTGTAGATTCTTAATTGTTCAAATCATGACCCCCGGGGTTAGGGCAGGGCCACAGTGGGGAATCAAAATTTTACAATGGGGAATCAAAGCATCCTTGGTAGTGTAGATTTCAAATTGTCTAAATTATGATCAGTGGGGTAGATTGGGGTCACAATATGTATTACAAGGGGAAATCTGGTAAAGAACGGAATGGTCAAAGCTACTCAGGTGAGCAATGTGGCCCGTGGGCCTCTTGTTTTTTGAAAATCTTCTCTGCTCCTGTGTATAAAATAATCTAACTAAGTACATGGTTACATATATGACAGGCAAGAGAGCCTCTTCCAAATTATTGAATCTATTGGCCACGGGATCTGGGGTTCTGGTGTTAGGGCGGGGCTCTTTTGATTATTATAGTGATAATTCCATTAATTCTTTGAAAATCTGGGTATTAAATAAACTAACTAAGTACATAGTTATGATGGGCAAGAGACTCAATGCCTCTTCCAAAATTGTGAATTTGATGGCCCCATGGTTGGGGGTACTGGTGTGAGGGCAGGGCTCTTTTGATTATATAGTAAAATTTGGTTAAAGCCACTGGGACCTATAAAATTACTTAGCTAAACCTATATATATTTGATTAAGGAATTTGTTAAATTTATATAGCTGGGGATCCAAGATAAATTATCCGTGAATTCCGTGAATTCGCAATATCTGTGTTTGTACTAAACGAAATTTGCTGTAAAAGAGAAAATACATTAATTCTTTGAAAATCTTCTTCTCTGCTTCTTGGTGTTAAATAAACTAAGTAAGTACAAAGTTATGATGAGCAAAATTTCCTCTTACAAATTTGTGAATTTGATGGCTCCAGAGTCAGGGGATCTGTTGTTAGGGTAGGGCTTTATCGATTATTAGTGGAAATACAATAATTCTTCAAAGGTCTTCTCTGCTCCTGGATATTAGATAAACTAAGTAAGTATATAGTTATATTGAGCAAGAATGCCTCAACCAAATTGTCAGTTTTATGGCCTCTGTGTCAGGGGTTTTGTCATTTGGTGTAAATGGGTGGGGGGGGGACTCATTTGGTTAAATAGTTAAAATACATTAATTCTTTGAAAGACTTTTCCTTTGCTCTTGAGTGTTATGCCAATAATATACCGTAAGTATATATATCTATGATGAAGAAAGGTGCATCTAGAAAAATAGGTAATTTTATGCCCCCTGAGTCAGGGGTATCGATGGGGGGGGGGGGGGGTTACATAGTCTGAAAATAAATTAATGCTTTCAAATCTGCTCTTTGGTATTTATCAGCCATTTATGATGAAATAAAATTTATGATAAAATTTCTAAAATTTTGAAATATGAGGCCCCGGTGTCAGTGGTTCCTGTGCGGTGGGGTGCACAACTGGTTATAAAGTGAAAGTACATTTTCTCTCTGTTACTAATCTACCTCTGGATATTAAGTAATTACAGTATGCATGCTATGTGTATAATTATGATAAGCAATGGTGTCTCTTTCAAAATTGTGAATTTCATGGCCTCTGGTTTAAAATACGAACCAAATAAAATTGTTGAAAAGTTGTTACATGATACTCAGGTGACCTACATGTATAAGGCCTTGAAGGCCTCTTGTTTAGAGTTTCATTGGGTTATGACATGAAGTCGGTACGTGATCAAATCTACTATAATGCCCGAAAATTTGATCACATGACCGTCTTCATATCATAAGCCAATGAAACTCAAAAAATGATATCTTATTTCTTGAATAAACATGGATCATACTCATATGATATCTGTGAATATCATTATTTGAGTTCAGTGCTCATAATACATCTACATTATATTTTTAGTTGCATATTTATTTAATGTAGATTAGAGGTCTATTTGCAGGGACAGCAAAGTGAGAAGGCCTTTAAAATGTATTAATTTTTATTTACAGCAAATTCTTCAAGTCAACAACAGCGCTTTAAGCTTAAACTTGATAAAAAAGATATGCAACAGAGTGTTCCTGAATCTCATTCGGAAAATGCAGCTGATGATGCGAAAACGCAGGGGAAAATGAAACCAGTTGATGATGAGGGCCATGCGATTAAAGTATCAAACAGTGGACAGATATCACAAGATGATACCAACATTAAAACTACCTCATTCTCTCCACCACAAGGTGCCATATCAGCTTCAAATTTAGTAGAAGTTACGAAGGAAAATAGAGATATTCTTGGACCAAATAATCCAGGAATTTCAGGAAATTTGCAGATTGATTCAAAAAAAATTTCAGACTACCCAGATAAGAAAATTACAATGACTGACTTTGCAGGACAGTGTTCATATTATGCCTCACACCAGATTTTTCTGAGTCCACGGGCGTTCTTCATTCTTGTGCTGAATATGGAGAAGAAGTTCAATGATAAGGTTGGAGAAGAAGTGTGTTGTCAGGGAGGCTCCATTTATGAAAGGTGGACATACAGAGGTTGGTTACCATTGCCTTATGTTGGGTTTGGTTGCATAGTTTCTATAGCATAAGCAATGCAGTATGTGATTTAAAACTCTACTTATTTCATATACAGATTTAAATCAAGATAGTATGGGACTTTTTCATAATTTTTTTTATAAAACTTCAATATATAGTCGCCTCTTTATTGGGTGAATTTGTATCTAACAGTTAAATATAATTGGATGGGCTAGTGTGAGGAAAATGTATCTATCTCCATGTTTGTTTGTCTGTATGTCTGGAACCATTTTTTTTTCAAAATATTACCATTTGTGAAAACTTTGTTTAAATAAAACTTAAAATACTCTTAAGCTAAATTCAAACATTGGCATCGGAAGCATACTAAAGAAGGTATTTAATTGTGTGTGGGGGGAGGGGGGGGGGTCAACCAACAAAAAAGGTAACCCCCACTTTTCAATGCCTATATGTTGTTTATCTTTGCCATGAAAGTGTATGTTTGGGAAGGGGGGGGGGGGGCTAAGCCCCCGGCCTAGCCTCTCCTTGGTTCCGATGTGAAAGACAATAATTTTGCAATTTTGTTGATTGAAGTCTTCCTTTTCTGAATGTTTGACTTAAAGTAAACTTTGATATATGTAGAGAAATCATTTAAACATTGTCCTACATAATTTAATGAAAGTCAAGAATATATTTCATGTATCCAATATCTGGAGCAGAATGTTTTTTTTAATTGAAACATTAATTTTATTTACAAACTAGATTATTTTAGATTTTAGATTATTAGCTCTTCTGAGCCAAAGGCTCAAAGAGATAATGCTATGGCCATTTGTGCAGTGTGCGTCGTGCGGTGTGCGGTGTGCGTTAACTTTTTAGAATATGGGCCATAACTCAAGAACCCCTTGGCCAATCAGTGTCAAATTTGTCACAGGGTATCCTTGGCCCAAGGGCTACCATTTATACTAAAATAAGGGTTGGGACCCCGAATCAAGGGGAGATAATCAGGAAAACAAAACAAAAAGCACTGGTTGCTAAAAAATCTTCTTCTCCATAACCACCGGGCAGATTATCACCAAACTTACATACAAGGATCAGGATATGTTGAAGATTCAAAATTGTTCAAGGCATGACCCTGGGGCAAAGGGCGTGGTCTCAAGGTCACTTTAAAGTTGACCTAAATTTACAATTAATAAAAATGTTCATATTTTGCTTACTATAAGGACTAGGATCATCAAATCCTGTAAGTTGATGCATCTTAGGACTTCACATCATGTTAACTCAAAAGTAGGTCACGGTGACCTACTTTTTAAATTTTGCGGGCATTTGTTTTCAATTTGATTTAAAGGCACATTTTGGATACTTTAAGGCCTATGATCATCAAACTTAGTCAGTTGATGCATCTTGGGTCCTTGAACAACGTCAACTTAAAAGTAGGTCACCATGACCTACTTTTTGAACTTTATGACTTATCCTTTTCAAAACATTTAATCCCATTATTTCAGGCACTGAAAGGGTTAGAATCATCAAATCTTGTAAGTTGCTGCATCATGGGACCTTAAAACATATTTAAGAAAAAGTAGGTCACTGTGACCTACTTTTAGAATTTTGCAGGCATTTGTTTTCAAATTGTTTAAAAGGCATATTTTGATTACCTTTAAACCTATGATCATCAAACTTGGTCAGGAGATGCATCTTGGGAATCTGAAAAATGTCGACCAAAATGTAGTTCACGGTGACCTACTTTCGACATTTTATGGCTATATTTAAGAATCTTAGGTATTTATTGGCTTAGAATCATCAAACTTTGTGAGTTGATGCATCTTCGGTTTTCGGATAGTGACGACCAAAAATTAATTCACAGTGGCCTACTTTCAACATTTTATTGCTATATTTAAATATCTCCGGCACTTATTGGCTTAGAATCATCAAACTTTGTCAGTTGATGCATCTTGGGTTTTCAGAGAATGTCGACCAAAAAGTAGGTCACAGTTATTCTCCAGTACTTATTGGCTTAGAATCATCAAACTTTGTCAGTTGATGCATCTTGGGATTTCGGAGAATGTCGACCAAAAAGTATGTCACAGTGACCTACTTTTTGACATTTTATGGCTATATTTATGTATCTCTAGTACTTATCGATTTAGAATCATCATACTTTGTCAGTTGATGCATCATGGATTTTCAGAGGATGTCGACCTAAAAGTAGGTCATGGTGACCTACATTTGAATATCTCAGGTATTTATTGGCTTAGAATTATCAAACTTGGTCAGCAGATGCATCTTGAGACTCTAAAAAATGTCAACCAAAATGTAGGTCACAATGACCTACTTTCGACATTTTATGGCTATATTTAAGTATCTCTGGTACTTATTAGTTAAGAATCATCAAACTTTGTCAGTTGATGCATCTTGGGTTTTCTGAGAATGTTGACCAAAGAGTAAGTCACAGTGACCTACTTTTGAATATCTCAGGTATTTATTGGCTTAGAATTATCAAACTTTGTCACTTGATGCATTTTGTGATTTCCAAGAATGTAGACCAAAAAGGAGTTCTAATTGACTAAGAATCATCAAACTTTGTCAGGTGATGCAACTTGGGTCTTTTATAGGATACTTAGGGTTAGAGGCTTCAAATATAAGTGATAGGTTGTACAATTTATCAGAAGAGCGATTCAAGGCCCTTGGGCCTCTTGTTTTATGGTATGATTAGATTTTAGTACATTTAGATTGGCTGTAGAGGTTGGAGTCCCCGAGTCATTTTGTCATAATAATCTGTTGTTTTTATGAGTGAAAATTTCTCATTTGAAATGTAAAGCAACATACAATCAATAAATCTCTCTATGATCTTATAAGACTAATACATGTACCGGTATTATGTGTACACATACTAGTGATAAGCAAATTGTTTGATTTTGTCTTCATTTCATTCACAGATTATCTTGAATTCTGGATGAAATCCATTCACCAATACAGCAATGATAAGGCCCCTGTTCTGCTCATTGGTACACATAGTGAGAACAAAACAGAAGAGGTATTTTTTTTCTTCATTTACAAATATTTTGTTGTGCTACTAGCCTACTGGTCAGAGATCAAATGACTTCCTGTGATAGTAACTTCAAGGTGTTTGTCAACTCTCTGTACAAATGTATATGAAACCTTTTGAAAGTTTGGCTTGATATGTTTTTGTGTTTTTTGTTTGTTTTTGTTGTTTTTTTTTTTTGGTATCTTAAGCAGGTTGGGACCAATCACCCAAATGGGATATAATTGTCCATTTGGCATATAATATCCCAAATGGGCTATAAATTTACAGTGCAAAAGATGAAAATTTTTAATTTGGCTATAAATATAATAAATTTGCATCAGAACACTTAAAACAGAATAACAAGTTCATTGCTAAGAAGATTGATCCCGTGGACGTTCAATAACTTCTTGGGGATCAATCTTACAAACTGTAGGGTTGCAGAAAAAGTTTTCAACCAAGTGTTCTGAGTGTTTTAAGAGTTCTAATGCGGATTAGATTTTTTTCTTTTTTTGCTCTGTAAATTTATATCCCATTTGGACGATTGGTCCCAACCTGTTAAGTACTATAGTAGATCAACTTGGAACATTATACACTGTATAATAAAAAGTAAAAATAATTAAAGTCATATAAGTTCGTATTTTTCACATTTAAAAAATTATCCCCTCGCGCAACTATTTGCGGAGGGGATATAGCATCGCGAATGTGTGTATGTATGTGTGTGTGTTAGTGTGTTTGTTACCTTGTGGGCAAGATTGACAGAGGTCCTTTGCATCAACCTTTCTCAGCGTTTACATACTTCTGTGGCAGTATAAAAGGAAGAAGCCTATTAATTTTCAAGTCCATTGATGAAATATTTCTTCAGATATCGCTTTTTTACTGCATCGAAACCCTGACATTCTATGTACGCGTTGACAATAATCATTTGTGGGCAAGATTGGCAGAAAACCTTTGCATTAACCACTCTCAGCGTTTACATACTTGTGTGGCATTATAAAAGGAAGAAGCCTATTAATTTTCAAGTTCACTGATGAAATATTTCTTCAGATATCGCATTTTCACTGTCTCGAAACGCTGGCATTTTATGTACGAGTTAACAATAATCATTTCCGCTAGGGAACCAGTTTAAAAACCGTGTCGAATCTGTGGGAACCAGATTTTAAGGATTTGATGAACGTCACGGTTTCATTACCAAATTCCAACAGGTGTCTGGGAATTTGGGATGCACGTTAAATTGAAAGTGTGTGTGTGTGTGTGTGGGGGGGGGGGGGGGTGGGGGGCTTAACCAACAAAAAGGTAAACCCCAAATTTCAATGCATAGAAATTGTCTATATTTGCAAAAAAGTGGGAGGAAAAGCCCCAACCCCCCCCCCCCCCCGGTTCGAACGCCAAGCCCTATGCCACAAGTTCAAATAAACTCTTGATGTACATTGTTGTTTTTCATTTAATATGGAAAAAAATGCAAATTGTCTGGAACTGTCAAATAAACTAATTAGGTTGGTAAATGATTAAAATTATTGAAACATGTACATGTAGCATATACATGATAAAAAGTTTCTACTAGATATAAGGGAAACTGTCCATAGGTATGCATATTATGCCCATTGGCGGATCCAGAGGAGGGGGGGGGGTTCCGGGGGTTGGAACCCCTTTATTTTTTGCCAAGTGGAGAAAGAGAGAAAAAAATATTTTTACGTCTAACTTATATATTGAATAGATAGATACCCACACATTTAGTTTTCTCCATTTACCTTCATTATTACTTTTTTATGAGTAGAAAATTTAATGGTAGAAAATATTCTACTTATTTTTAGATGTCGTTTATGAAATATAGCATGCGAGGTTTAATTTGATATGATATTCCAGCAATCTTTGACTGTGTTGGCTATATAATATACATGTATATGTACCCTTTTTAATCATACTTTTGAAGGAACTTACATAAAACCCTTTGTTTTAAACCCTATCCGCATCTTACCCCCCCAAATTTTTTTTTCAAATTCTTAAAGAAAATTATTTTTACTCTAACTCAGAAATGCTGCAGATCGATTCAATTTTATCAGGCTTCATTAGTTTTTGAAATGATTTTTTTCTGACTTGGGGTACCTTTTCAAAGAAAAAAAGATGTAAACAAAGATATTATAATATACTACAACATCTTTCAATACGTGTGTGTGAATCTTTGCTTGAGAGTTTGTAAAAGGGGGGATAGAGGTACACAACCCTGGAACCCCCCTTTCAAAAATTGCTGGATCCGCCCCTGATGCCCCCCACCCTCTCCCAACTTAAATGCTATGTAATTTGATTTTTGTTAAAAATAGACACCCCCACCCCTATAATTTTGTTAAAAAAATAAATAGCTGAAAAACAATTTAATACCTTATATTAAACTTTACTGCCTAAAATAAGGTATCAACCTTATGCACCCCCTCCCCCAACCAAGACGCTTTGCACTTTGCATTTTGTAAAAAAAAAAAGGTTCAACAACAACACTCCACTAATTATTTTGTCAGAAGTAAGGGATTTTATCCTAATGTTGCGGGTTTGAATCCCACTGTGGGACGTGAGACTGGTCCTTCGAATGAGACCGTGTAAACCAAGGGCCAATGTCCCAATAGATGCTGGTACAAAAAGATCCCTCACTGCTCAATGGCTGTCAGGGCCTATTATAGGAAAAAATGTGCAGCTCTTCACAGGCAAGCCTTTATATGAGCAAAATATTTCATGAGAGGGACATTAAAGAAGATACGTTGTACTATCAATCTTTGACATGTTTAACGTCCCTCTAGAGAATTTATCTCTCTTGAGATATTGCCATTACCAGTGATGTTCCTGGCGCGAGGGGATGCTCCGCTTAGCTTGCCCTTGTTATTGATTAATTGAATACCTGGTCATAGTTTATTGTAATGTACAGAATACTACAGTACTGCAGAAACGTTTGACAATGACACCACCCCCTTTCTTGTAAACATCTGAAAACGACATATAACGTATAGAATTTACTGAGCAAATATAAATTTTAAAGTTATAACTTTTAAATACAAATAAAACAAAATGAGGAACCTACCTTCTGATGTTGCAGAGATGAACGTCTCCCTGTATGCATGTGGCACACCACACAATGTGTCTGAAGTCATCGAGGTTTTTGTAGCGAAATACATGATCGAATCTTTGTATGACTGATACCTAATGTTTCCCCAGATTCTTATCTACAGGAAAACTTAATTAACAACAGATAAAACACTTGAGAATTCTGAAAAAGACATGAGAGAGTTTTCACTGTATTGTTATCATTTATTGTTGTGATTTCTGAATACTAGTATACATGCTAAAAAGAATGATTTATTAGTAAACTTGAATTTCCAGGAGATTATGACTTTTTTCCATGAAATATGGGCTACTCTTGAAATGAAGGACAAGGCTTTGCACAAACATCTCCATGAGGATAGACAGTTTGCAGTGGGATTCCATGACAATGAAAGCATTGAAAACATTAAGCTCTCTATCGTTAAAGTTGTGCAAAATCTAAATCATTGGGGAGAAAAACTTCCACTCTCATGGGTCATGTTTGAAAAATTCTTCCAGGAAAAGAAATCCCAGAGGATAATGAAAAAAGAAATGCTGCTGGCTTTCAATGATGCATTGCCAACAGGTATAAAACTCGAAACGGATGATGACATTAATATTATGCTGCAGTTTTTCCATGACATCAGAGAAATTTTATACTTCAACCAAGAACTTCTTGATGTTCTAATCATTCTTGATGTGCAGTGGTTTGCAAATTTATTTAAAAATGTAATAACAGATAGAAATCATGCAGAAAAGGATTTATGTAGGTTTGCATCAGACTGGAAAAAATTTGATCAAACTGGAGAATTAAATGACACTTTGCTTACAGCTATCTGGGAATTGAAGGGAGTAGCTTTCAGTGAACACAAAACAGATGTCATGCTATACATGGAAAAGCTAGGATTATTAGCAAAATTGGATGACAAAAAATGGCATGTTCCTTGTATGAACAAAATGCCATTTCCTGCAAATCTGTTTACTTCATACCCTGCCTCATCTATTCTCTGCTACGTGTTTGATGTTCTTCCTGTTAGCATTTTCCATCGTCTTGTAGCTACATGCTTTCAAATTCCCTGGGAAATTGTTACAGAGAGAGAGAGACTATGCATATACCAAACAGTAGCTGTTTTCTTGTTTAAGGATCATAACATATTGCTTGGAATGACTCCCAGGGAAATTCAGTTACAGGTTTTTGTCATTGAAGGGAAAGTTGAGATAACAAATTGCCAGGAAATTAAGGCAGAAATTGACCGTATGCTTAATGTTCTTTCCAGAACTTTCCAGACTGACTTTCGATTTACACTTGGGTTTAAATGCAAAACTACAGGATTCTGTGATAGCCAAGAAAGTTCTGTGATCAACGAATCAGAATTTACAAAGGCATCTTTTCAGTGTCCTTTCTGTCCAATAGGGAAAAAGCACATAATCAATTCAAAGAATATCAAGAAATATTGGATACAGGTACATGTATTTTATTGTTATAGTTGTTCTAAATCATAAAAAAGAAAAGAAATTTTACTGGAAAATCTAGTTACTGTAAAAGTTTATCATATTGGATCATAGCTTGACTTTTGTACATATTTGTCTCTAGTTGACTACATGGGTACTGTTTGTATTTCAAAGACTTCAGTCAATTCAATTAAAAATCATAAACTTTTTAGAAAGTGCAGCATTCAAATCGATTGTAGAATAAATGTTTCAAATAATGGTCCAGAAGGTTAGTACTGCAATTTTAATTTTGACAAAAGAGGATAATTTTTTTTTACCAAAATAAAAAAGATCTTCATTTATAGTAAATTCAAGTTGGTAAGATAATTTACTGAAATAAAGAAATTGGGTGATATTAGAATAATAATTCACATTGGTTTATAAAGAATATTCTTTAAAAGATGTTTTTATCAAGAAAGCGATCACAGTTTTTTAGAGAAATATATATCATAATTATGTAATTTAGATTTAAACTTGTTCCAATCATATTCCTATATTGAGTGGGGAGGGCAGCAAAACAATGTAGGTTTTGTTCATTTTGGATTAAATACTAGTAAGCGTTTTAGATACTTTTTTTAAAAAAGTTGGGTCACTTCTTTAGCATTTATATATTTTTTAAATACAAGAATTGAAAATCTTAAGCAGCAATACAGCAGTTGGACATTTTAATTGAAAACTTATTGTTTTCACATACACAATCATTTGTATTGCAAGAAATACATATATAATGTGAGAGTTAAACAAGTGTTTGTTTCATATCGTTCACTGTTTTTCATTCAGGAAATTTTGTTTGTAGCATTTTCTAATCTTAAATGATCATTCATAATGAGCACATGTAGTTTTAGTGTCAATATTTACATATTAAAGGTACACGACGATGAAGCTGAGCCTTCTGAAGATAAAGGTATATCTCAAGGTAAACCGTCAGGGAGTTCTGGACCAAGTGAGTCCCATCCTAAAGGTATCTCAGCTAAATCTGAGATCAAATTCTTTTCACGTTTTCCTCGATTTAACATAGAACAGATTATACAATATTAGTGACAAGTTTTAATGTTCATATTAATATTTGCAATCAACGAATATGTATTAGTTATGCACGAATGTGTGTGTAAATTCTCATTAAAAATGACTTACCATTTAATTTGTAAAAAAGGAAACTTATTAATAAGTTTAAACTTTTCACTGCTTTGAAGTGACCTATAAATAAATCCATTAAAATTAAATCACTTGTCAGATCCCACACCCTTCTTTTATTTCTTGTGTAGGCTGTATAAAAATTGAAATGCATGTATAAAAGAAAATCAACCCCAAACAATTACATACAAAAGTAAGCTATAAGAACAATCTTTTACTGATTATTGATCAGAAGTCTTTATATGAGGGACAGGTTATGCTTTTTCTCGTCCTGAAAAATTAAGTTAATTCCCTTTTATTGTAGACTTTTTTGTTCAACATGTTGGAGAAAGATTGAAACGATTTCTTTTTTATTTGCTATATTGGTATCTATGTTTACTATATTGTCATAAATTAACATACTTGGATTATATTTCTATAATATAGATAATTTTGCCAAGATATTAAAGTTATTGCAAGTTGGAACTGATGCAGTAAGAATCTGCTTCGATAAATTCTTCCCAAAAGAGGATTTAGAAAAGACTCTGAAAGAAAATGAAACAGACATAAGAAGAGGACAGTTCCGATTCCAACAACCTCAGCTAGAGATTCTCTTCCCAAAGCAAGGCACTTATTGGTTTTCTTTCTTTAATGATTAACATAATGCTTCTTAAAATATTTTATGGCATAAAGAAATATAAAAGTCTGTAAAAAGAATTGTTGTTATGATATAAAAAAAAAATCTGTACTATGCACTGCATAATGTATTTCCTTTAACAACCAAAAAATTATCATTTTTGTTCTCAAACCAAGAAAAAATTACCCTCAAAAAGTAGTAATTTTACAGTATATAACTAATGACCTAAAAGAGGAACAATATAATCCCTTACTCCATAACAAAGTATCCCTTTTTAAATAGTATTGGATAAAAGATCAAACAAAAAAGTTAACAGAAAATAAACGTAATTGTGAAAAATCTACCAATAAAATGTATTAAGCATTTCTTGGTATCAAAACAAAAATGAGAAAGTATAAGTTTGAATGAATTTAAGGTTACCAAAGATTGTAGGGACTATAATTGGTAAATATATATTATTATAACAGTAACTTGATCCGAAGGGTCGTACTCGTCGAGTTGACAGGCGCGGATCATCAGATCTAACGAGACGCGAAGCGTCGAGTTTGATCTGATGATCCGCGCCTGTCAACGAGACGTGATACGGCTCTTCGGATCAAGTTACTGTTATAATGATAAATTTATTATATACCCCCTTATAACTAGCTAAATATAGCAGAATATTTCCATTTCTAATTTTTTTCTCTTTGATAACTGTTTGAAAGTTGGGGGAATTTATTTCTTGATAATTCTGCCGGAATGTAAATAAGGCAGGTCGATAGGTCAGCAGCTAAGGAGGCCTGATACGCATGCAAATCCCGTGCGCATCTGTCTCTGTGTCTGACGCTAAGGAGGCCAAATATGCACGAAAATCTCGTGTGGCTGCCTTTGTGTTTGACGTCAGTGTGCGAGGACTATTGAAATTGGCATGGAAGTCCTCGTGTAATTTATATCTATTAGTCTACACTTTTAATGTCTAAGTCTACAATTTTTTTCACAATGAAATGGAAATATAAGGAATCACTGTCTAGTTTTGAGAGTATGCCAGGGACATCAACAATAGTGGGAAACATGGGATAATATTTAGCATAACGGGCTTCGCCCGTTTATGAAAATTATCCCATGTTTCCCACTATTGTTGATGCCCTGGCATACTCTCAAAACTAGACAGTGATTCCTTAAATAAAACTTTAGAGATCAATTGTATAATATTTATCCATAAAACAAAGCATAATAACAAGGGACTTTTTAACGCGCAAGAAAATAACGTCATGTTTTTGCGTACTACGTCATCAGTTTCAGAGAGTGGTGATATGGATTCAGAAAACCACAGTGTGGTGATCCGGAAAATCGGATCAAACTCTGTAAAATTAACAGTAGCAAAAACAAGGAAATTGATGGGTATATAATAATTATATTTATAAAGACCCAAATCAAAGTATGACGGAGAAACATATCATTAAATTAATACCATAAGCCAGTGGGATATCTACAGACATCAAGACACTAAATATTTCTATAAATCATGATGACATACATAAGATCATAATTTCAGTAAATAATACAAATGCTAAATTTTTACGATTTATCCAGGGGAAAAAAGAATATATTGCCTCGATGCTTTGAGTAAAAATGGTGTCCATTTTTTTCTGTTAAACCAAATAAAATCCGAAAAGTTTGTGACGGCAAAGAAGCAAATAAAATGCCAATAACCTAGTTTGCAACTATTATACTTTTTGTTAATTTAGATTTCTCATACAATATATGCACTACAGCACATTTCTGGAATTTTTCAAAGTACAATTTATTACTTAAAGATCTTAACAGTGGTTTTAATAGCATATTTGATTAATTTAATGTTCCCAAGAAAAGAAAAGTACTTATAATATTGCTCACTTACGACATAAGTCTCCTATGTAAACGACATTAAGAAAAAAATGGAAAAAGAAATGAATATCCACCATTTTGAATCGCCATTTTGACTTTTAACTCGCAACTGCACCATCATTTAGTTATAGAATAGTGAGATGTAAGGAGTAAATTACAAATCTGCAGTGTATGGATATTTTCAAATGTAAAATCCTGAACAAAGAAGAATATAGAAACAATAGACAAATAAATCAGAGAAAATTCGAATAAAGTGTAGAAACTACTAAATTTCTGAGTTAAGCTAATAATGGTAGAATTCTATTATATTTTTTTATAGTTTTATTACACTCATTGATATATTTATTAGGGCCCCGCAAGGATTTGCGGGTGCCCTATAGTAATCACTCTGTCTGTCCGTCTGTCTGTCATTCTTCTGTCCACAAATTTTTTCTGTTTTTTCCTAATAACTTTTTTTTTATGGTTGCCCAATTAAGATCAAATTTTGTATGGTAGTTCAATTAGCAGAGAGACATATTTTGGTGCTAAGTTTGTTTTTCTATGTCCCCTGGTTTGGAGCTGGGGTGGTGGGGTAGATTCCTTAACTTTTTATAAGAATGCATTGGCAAAGAGAGATAACTTCTGAAAATGTTCCCATTGCAAACTGAATACTGCTATGAGTCCCTTGGGATAAATTAGCTTTCCTCCTGAAGAAAATCCAAAGCATTATCTTTATCTGTATAATTGAGATGAATTACCACCTCTGTCTGCAAATGAAGTTTGTTTTGAAGTTTTTAAAAGTCAATTTGGAATGTTATGAACACTGAAATGTGGATAAAGATATAAATTGTTATACTTTTTTTTTTGTTAAAATAGTTATAATTTCATTGAATTCTAAAAACAAGAAATTCATTAGAGGAGATATAATTTTTTTATTTTTACTTTTCTTCCCTTTATGTACATTCAAGAATATTATTAAATTTTAAGGTGGTTGTATAAAAAACCCATTCTATTGAAAAAGTTTTTATTGAAACTTCAGAAGAAATTGATGAGAGAGGTACAATTAATCTCTTGGGATTAATTTTCTAGCCCGCTGCAGAAAATTTCGTAGGCTTTCCTTTATCTGTCACTCTAAGATTAATGAAAACCGTTGTCTGCAACTGCTGTTTGTTTTGAAGTTAAGGTCAAGCCTTCATGATATTTGCATTCATTGAAGGCTGGCATTTTATATAACATAAGCTTCGTTATTGTTTAAATATACATTCAATGTTAAGTTGTCCCTTACTGCCTAATGTAAATACAAGGATATTAATTATTATTTACAGGTTTTTGAATACTCAGGAATTATCTTGAAATTTTAAGAATACAGTTGTTGTTGCTTATTCTTCGTACATTTTTTAATCATTCCGTAAGCTGTACCCTTATAATTCTACCCCATGGCGGGGCCCTTGCTGACTGGTCAGTTTTCTAGTTCATTATTTTTCCATTTTGAACGACATTAAGAGAAAATTAGAAAAATTGAATGTCCGCCATTTTGAATCGCCATTTTGACCTATTTAAAGCCATTTCCATGAAGGCCAGCATATTTTTTGGATACAGCATACTCGAGATAGGTTAAAAACTATGCTGGACCAAATAATGATTATTTGCCGTTAGAAGTATTTTTTTTACTATAAATCGGACCAGACTATGTACTGAAATCTTCATTTCAAAACAATTTTGAAGCTATTTCGACTTTTGTTTATGAAATTGAAAGATTAAGAGCGCTGAAAAATTATTGTATAGCGTATTTGACGAGCTAAAAATGTAACATTTTTCTAGTGATTGTCAATGAAATTCAAAACCCGATATACTCCCAGGGCAAGTTAGGTTGTACATGTAAAGGTATGGATAATTTCAGTGTATGAGTGAAGAGGAAAACCTTTATTTCATCTCAGACATTCATCTGTAAGTATGTTTAAGCAATTTTTTGAAGGTGGATCCAACACTGGTGTTTCATCTTTATCTATGGACGTTAGCATCATGTATAAATTGTTGAGGAATTTCTCTGACATTTATCCTCCTGGAAATGGATGGGGAAAGGAACCTAGAATAGTGGACATTACAGAGAGTGATGACATAGAAAGAATCCGTTTATATAGAAATAAATACAGCCATGATTCTGGAAGTAGCCCTGTGATAAGTGATGAAGTCTTTAACATAATCTGGGATGATCTTTCTAAGGTGTGTAAACCACTATACATCGAGGGTAATTTTGCTTTCTAACAGTAGGTAAAATTTTATGAGACAATTCTGATTTTGGTTGTGGATTATTTCGACAGTAAACATTTATTATGCCCCCGCAAACGAAGTTTAGGGGGGTATATTGGAATCACCATGTCCGTCTGTCTGTCCGTCCGTCCGTCTGTCCGTCCGTAGACAAGATTTTGTCCGGACCGTTTCTCAGAAACTGTTAGATGGATTTGTCTAAAAATTTATACACTTATTATTCACCATATGAAGGTGTGTACCTGGGATTTTCATCATGATTGGATGATTTTTCCGCATTTTACAGGCGTTTTTTCTTTTTTATTTTGTGATTTTGTTTGGCTCATAACTAGAAAACTATTAGACTTACAATCATCAAACTTGGACAATTTATGCATCTTGGGTAGACGGTGTGTCACAGCCTATTTCAAAGTCTCTGTGACCTTTAATTTAAGTGATTTTTTTTAAAAACTAAGTCTTTAGAATTTTTAATTTTATAATCCTAAAAAATGTAAAAATATAGTTGTATCCTTATTAAAAAATGCTAAATTAAGTAAAAACTTATTTTTTCATCATATACTTTACAGCAAATTCTGTAACAAATGTTAATGATTTGAGAGGAATTCAGTTTGTCCCATGGGCATAATTATCAAGCACTGGTCAAGGAGAATTTTTGATAGCAGAAATTAATGAGTTCATTGTCGGGAGTTAACTGGCAAGAGCATCATGCAGTATTATCTTAATTTATCTCTTGGGAGTTGGGCAAAAAGAAATGGCCTTATGGTTGCTTGTGTTAATTAAGAGTTCTTGATGGCTGTAGTTCAGATAAAGATCTTTCAACTGGTGTAATGTAATTAAAACAAATTGATGTTTTAGTGTATGATTAAAACTGAATTAGTATTGTATAATATAATTAAAATTAATTATACATGTGTTCATTGAAAAAAAAATTACATTTCAATTTTATATATATTTGCAAGAAATTGCAGTCATGTCTCACTTAGAATTTTATAGTCCAAAGAATAATTATTAATTTTTGATTTTTTTTTATTAGACTGTAGCATTTCCATTATTTCATAAAATATGCAATAAACAATTTAAAGCTGCAGACAGGTATTTATTAAGCTCTAACACAGCCAGTTTAGAATTATATGATGTACGTATTATTTGTTTTAATTAATCCCTACACTGTAAGTCTCTTAGAGATGCATGTACAATATTTTAAACCTGATAAGAAATAGAAAATAGATCATTGAAATCTGTGTCAATCTGTTAATCAAGGTTACTTAATTTTCTTGCACCCTAACCAATTTATGATTATTGAACAATATTTGATTGGCGTATCATGCTGTGGCGGGGCACTTTATTAGACAATAGTGAACACCTCTTACTAGATCCATAAAATATTTCTGAATTGGCACCTACTCTGAAAAACCCAGCGGGGGTATTTGTCCCTATTGGACAGTTCTAGTTTGTTATTGTAGGACAGGTCATTCATTATCGATTATAGTTTAAGTTTAAGCATATATATATCAGAAGAAAATAGCTAGCACAAATCAATTTATTCAATAGAAACAAAAACAAAATTCCTGGGGGCAAACAATTCTTTCATTTTAAAATAGTCCTGTCTTTTGAGCATACATCTCTCAGTAAAAATAACGCAAATCAGATTATACAAAAGAAAAATGAACAAATTTCAAGAGGGTAAAAATTCATATCTCCTTAAAACAACCTTTTCCGTATTAAGATGTATGTATATTTGCAGAGTTCTACTTATTCCTCCTTTATGCCATTTTCTTTTTTCTTTTTAGCTTAGAAAAGTAGTTTCACAATAAAAGAAACTTTTTTAAATGCATTAAGTTGTTTAATGTCTTTGTTTATTTAATTTAAAAAAGTTTCTATTTTATATTCTTTGTCAACAACACCAATTTTATACTTTTTTATATGATTTGTCTCATTTCTTTTCAGGCCATTCTAAGACTCAGTGGTGGTGTTTTGAAGAGAAGGATTAGTGAAATATAACTGAGTGGATATTAAAATTTGACAACATAAACTTGACAACAAGAATCATTACTATCAGAAAAAAAGATGTTTCATGATAGTATTCAGTTACATTTATTGTTAAAATTGTGCAATATTTTATAGTGCTGATTATATTGAAAAACAAGATATTCATTTTCTAATGGCAACATAATGTGAAATACCCTTCATGGATAATAGTTCAAGATTGAATTTACAATTTCTTACTATAAAGTGGTATTTTACATATTACTCATCCCTGGATTTTATTATCTATCTTTGTTTTTATTGACAATATATCAAAAGGATTGGACACAAATTCCAAAAACTTAGATAGTCCTCTCCCATCTATATCTTTATGTACTGTAATAAGTTGTGCTTTTGCTTGTTCAGAAATTTTCATTTTTCTTTTTTCGATAATTGATTAATATTATAATAGTAAAGGATATTTTTGGATTTTTTTTTAGATGTTTACTTGTATTTAAAAAATAATGATGAAATAATATGTCTGTAAATGAATGTGATGATTACAGCAGCCATTAGGTACGTCACTGGAGTCGTCATCATCCGTTAACATCTGAACATTGCCAGCCTCTTCTCTGGAAGCACAAAACCTATTTTATTGATTTTGGATCTCTGAGTGAAGGTAAACAAAAAACGAGAACTTTATTGTCAATGGGGAAAACCACCAAAACACATTGGAAGTTTGTAATAAGTATTTATCAGAAAATTTCTTTAAAAAAACATTATTCCAGATTTTTAAAACGCTGACTTGTGGAGCGAGTATGACTTTAATCAGAATAAAATAAAAAATAAAATGGCAATTAACAGTTGTTATCCTGATTTCAATATATTTATGTAACCCCCTACTTCGCATACACACATTAATGAAATTAAAAATTATTTTAAGAAGAATATTTAAATATAAATTAAGACAAGAAAAATTAAGAATGTAAAAAAAGATCATAAATGTAAACTCTCAGATTATGTAGATTTTAATGATGAAGCCTGATGATTTTAGTTAAATTTCTATGAGTTGTCCTCCCCATCCTGTATTCGAATTGTTTTTATAAGCCTACTGCAGCTATTTTAGGTCTCCTGATATTGTTATCTGTTTTCGTCGTGCGTCGTACGGTGTGCACTGTGCATTAACATTTGAAAATTTTCAGCTTCTTCTCTGTAACCGCTCAACCAATTTCAATATAAAGCATCTATCGGTGAAAGGGAACAAAAATCGTAAATTTCATGGTCACTTCCCTCCTGGGGCTAGAGGGTTGGGGCCAAAACCATTTAAATTGATGCAATCTGTAAAAATCTTCTTATTTACTAGTGGACATCAAGCAGTTAAGATGTTGGCATGATTGTAACGAGCAAGAGTTCCTCTACCAAAATTGTGAAATTCATGGCCCCAGGGTCAGAGATTCTAGTGCTAGGGCGGGCTAAATAGAATATATACTAGTAGTTAACATATTTTTTCAATCTTCTCTGCTCCTGGATATTATAAAAACTAACAAAGTACATGGCTATAATGAGCAAGAAAGCCTCTTCCAAAATTGTGAATTTTATAGCCCCAAGGTCAGGGGTTCTGGTGCTAGGACGGGTCTCCAGAGTTGCGCGTTTTTGTGTTAGGGTGGAGTCTATTGATTTTACAGTGAAAATGCAATAATTCTTTGAAAATCTTCTTCTCTACTGCTGGGTTTGATTTAAACTAAGTACATGATAATGATGTGGAAGAATGCCTCTTATAAATATATTTTGTTCTGTGGGGTGGATGTCATCTTGTCATTGTCATTAAAATAGAAATTCTTTTGAAACATTTTAAAAACCCTACTTAATCTAAAGTCTTGGCTTAATTTCATTACAACTTATAGATTAAGATGAAAAATTATTTATTATATTGCATCTCACACAATATACACATAATACAGTATTTTGATTGATTTAAGTGTTACATCTCACACAATATGCACATAATACAGTGTGTTGATTGATTTAAGTGTTACATCTCACACAATATACACATAATACAGTATTTTGATTGATTCAAGTGTTACATCTCACACAATATACACATAATACAGTGTGTTGATTGATTTAAGTGTTACATCTCACACAATATACACATAATACAGTGTGTTGATTGATTTAAGTGTTACATCTCACACAATATACACATAATACAGTGTGTTGATTGATTCAAGTGTTACATCTCACACAATATACACATAATACAGTGTGTTGATTGATTTAAGTGTTACATCTCACACAATATACACATAATACAGTGTGTTGATTGATTTAAGTGTTACATCTCACACAATATACACATAATACAGTGTGTTGATTGATTTAAGTGTTACATCTCAAACAATATACACATAATACACATCTCACACAATATACACATAATACAGTGTGTTGATTGATTTAAGTGTTACATCTCACACAATATACACATCATACAGTGTGTTGATTGATTTAAGTGTTACATCTCACACAATATACACATCATACAGTGTGTTGATTGATTTAAGTGTTACATCTCACACAATATACACATCATACAGTATGTTGATTGATTTAAGTGTTACATCTCACACAATATACACACCATCAGTGTGTTGATTGATTTAAGTGTTACATCTCACACAATATACACATAATACAGTGTGTTGATTGATTTAAGTGTTAAATCTCACACAATATACACATAATACAGTATGTTGATTGATTCAAGTGTTACATCTCACACAATATACACATAATACAGTATGTTGATTGATTTAAGTGTTACATCTCACACAATATACACATAATACAGTGTGTTGATTGATTTAAGTGTTACATCTCACACAATATACACATAATACAGTGTATTGATTGATTTAAGTGTTACATCTCACACAATATACACAAATTACAGTGTGTTGATTGATTTAAGTGTTACATCTCACACAATATACACATAATACAGTGTGTTGATTGATTTAAGTGTTACATCTCACACAATATACACATAATACAGTGTGTTGATTGATTTAAGTGTTACATCTCACACAATATACACATAATACAGTGTGTTGATTGATTTAAGTGTTACATCTCACACAATATACACATAATACAGTGTGTTGATTGATTTAAGTGTTACATCTCACACAATATACACATAATACAGTGTGTTGATTGATTTACGTGTTACATCTCACACAATATACACATAATACAGTACGTTGATTGATTTACGTGTTACATCTCACACAATATACACATAATACAGTGTGTTGATTGATTTAAGTGTTACATCTCACACAATATACACATAATACAGTGTGTTGATTGATTTAAGTGTTACATCTCACACAATATACACATAATACAGTGTGTTGATTGATTTAAGTGTTACATCTCACACAATATACACATAATACAGTGTGTTGATTGATTTAAGTGTTACATCTCACACAATATACACATAATACAGTGTGTTGATTGATTTAAGTGTTACATCTCACACAATATACACATAATACAGTGTGTTGATTGATTTAAGTGTTACATCTCACACAATATACACATAATACAGTGTGTTGATTGATTTAAGTGTTACATCTCACACAATATACACATAATACAGTGTGTTGATTGATTTAAGTGTTACATCTCACACAATATACACATAATACAGTGTGTTGATTGATTTAAGTGTTACATCTCACACAATATTCACATAATACAGTGTGTTGATTGATTTAAGTGTTACATCTCACACAATATACACATAATACAGTGTGTTGATTGATTTAAGTGTTACATCTCACACAATATACACATAATACAGTATGTTGATTGATTTAAGTGTTACATCTCACACAATATACACATGATACAGTGTGTTGATTGATTTAAGTGTTACATCTCACACAATATTCACATAATACAGTGTGTTGACTGATTTAAGTGTTACATCTCACACAATATACACATAATACAGTGTGTTGATTGATTTAAGTGTTACATCTCACACAATATTCACATAATTCTGCATAGTGTTTGGTTCAACTATTAATCTTTAAATGTGTTACATTTGGCGTGTACGATATTTGCCGGAAATTCAATTTTGAACAAGTTAGCGTAGATTTGATTCAGATAGTTATAAAAGTTAATATAAAAGACATCTAGCGATGTTCTTAAATTAGCGGACTCTAATTTCCGCCAAAATCGTTAAATAGAATACACCGCTAAATGTAATACGTTTACAGTATAGAATAGAATTTGAATAGAATTCGCGTTTTTATTTTTAAAATTTCAAGTAAATAGGCCAAAGTCGAAAGATGTTTGACTTTTACCAAATATTTAGTGTACTCATAAAATCACGCCCTCGATTTAAAGAAAGCAGCAGCACTTTTCAAGTAGAGAAAAATTTCCTTTATCTTTATTCAAAAATGGTTCAGATCTATGCAGTGTATCCCCTTGCGAAAGTACGATTTTATGAGGCATATCGATGTTTTTACATATAGATGGGATTATTTTTAAATATACGTATCTTGTACATTAAAACACGACCTAATTAGAAAAAATACACTCTCTTGATAGTTAATGAATAATCGCACTAAACAAAGGATATAAATTGGTATCAATCGACTATTTAAAACCTGTAAATGATATTCCGTTTAATAATAAAACGCAACTTTCATTGTTAAAAAAATTTCTTAATCTGCCTATAACAGCATATGAAATACTTCATTTTTACCAAAATGACTTCATATTTACAAGTTCATCGCGATCAGTGCTTTGTTTATAACTAGCTACATGGGATTTAACTTGCAAGTTTTTTTAACCCATTGGTAAGTTTTATTGTTGTTTATTATGCTAATACAGTTAAAAGTTGCAAATTATTTCATTTCCAGGTATTATGAGAAATACATAAAAGTTATATTTTTTGTGACGTCACAGTAATTTTTTTCCCATATAAATTAGGCCTTGTCCCCTTTTTCAAGCGTTAACAATCCTGCAAATCTAAAAATATTCAAATGTTAACTCAAAACGACGGACGAAATTCATAGCAAAAGGTCTACTGTGTGACTCAGTTGACTAAATAAAAGTACTAAATAGGGTCGACTGAATGGTGCATTTGTTAGATCGATTGTCTTTAGAGTGCAGAGTTGATCCTTAGTCTCAGGTTCAAGTTCATTGTGCGACATTGAGGTCTGTCCTTCAGATTAGAATTCGAAGGTTCCCTGTCATAGTAGGTACTGGTGTGAAAAAAATTACACATTATTAAAAGGCTATTTGTGCTGAGTACAGGTCTCAATTTGCAGCCCTTCGCCGGCAACTAGTTGTGTTTTAATAAAAGTCGAAATTCTCAATGGGAAAATGAAAAAAAAATACAACTCAACAATTTAAAAAAAAACAGTAACAAATTCAAATGTTTGTATTCCATTTTCATCATTGGTTAAAAACCCGTTTAATCTCCTCAAAATCAACTTCCCCTCTGAACTCTTTGATGACGTCAAAGAGCTTCCTTACAGTGGCTTGTCTCCCCTCCCTCTT